CAATAATAAGCTTATAAGTAGAAATAAGTTTATTTTTCACACAAAGGTTACACTAAAGTCCCGAAACAATAGACTCTAGAAAAAAATGTCTTTATGGTCATGAAAAACTCAAACTCTGGAGCGAAACGTCTACAACCTTGTGGTTAGTGCAGATGAAAGTCAGAATGACAAGATTGGTTGCAAATAAACTTTAGCCCTATATCTTTACATTTAGATGCATCTTTAGCATTTGTTTTTTCTTGCTATTTAAAATAAAATATTTGCTACTATTTGCTTTTTGAATACATGTTGTGTATTAGCGATGTTATTAAATAATGTTAGAAGTACTTTTACAAATTGTTTAAAAGTTGGTTAGGAAGTACTTTTGTAGATTTTAAGGATAGACATAATTTGTCAGAAAGGATGATTTTTGATTAAAAAAAATGTATTGAAGATTGGTGATCTTTAGTAATCAATAGACTGACTTATTTACTATAGCTATGTGGATGTCTATCCCTTTAAAGTAGAAATAAACACAGAAATAACTCAACAGTAATGTCAAATGAAAGAGAATTATGTTAAATTAAGCACTTTAAATCATGTCTCTTCTGTCTTCAGACTGCCTGTGTGCTCTGCTGCTTCCTCCTTAACACAGGTCCAGGGGCTCTGAATTTTTGGATAGCGACATCAACACACAACACTGCAGCCAGTGCTGCAACACACAGGGACTGTTTATTTTTGTATTTTGACCGATTTTGCATATATGTGTGTGCATCTGTTGGTATCCACAGCATAACTCTGTTCCCCCACCTCAGATTCAGAAAAAATAGCAGATCCTCCTTTTGCATCATATCAACACCATCTTTAGTACCTCACTGGAATACATAATATGACCTTTGGAGAAAGATTTTTATTTAACCAGTTACAAATCATTACTAAAAGATATGTTTATTGGTTGATTGATTTTCTGGGGAGAACACATTTGGAAGATATTTCCCTACTGATCTATAATTCCATTGACACATACTGTCCCTTTACTTTTAATACTGACCACCCATCTACTTAAATATAACTAATTCAAATTAATAACCATAATTGAAATGATATTTGTGGTTTGCATCCATGGCCCCCCTCTTGACGGCTTGATTAGACAGCTGACCCATCAGACTAAAAAAATGTGGCCTGTTTGTCAGTTAGATCATCATTGATCGAGGTGATTCACTTGTGATTCATGGTTTATTATTTGGGAATCCTTTCACTGTTCTTGTAGGGATGGTTTTTATCTACACAGAACTTTATGTAGTCAGTCACAAACTCAGTCATTGCACTGCTGTCCTCTCTATGTGGGTGACACAGTGTACCCCAGTCTGTAGCCTCAAAACTACCCTGCAGGGCTTCTTCAGCTTCCTGTTATCGTCTTCTTTCGGTTCTTTTTAATGCAGGTTGTCTCTTATAAGGTGGCTTATATGCTGAGGAGAGAAAAACAAGATTGTGATCTGATTTCCCAAGAGGAGGTCTTACTGTACGTCAGAGATGTAGGAGTCATTGACATTTGCATAAAACAAGTCCAAAGTTTTTGTTTTATCTTGTAAATTAGCTGATAAACTGCCAGCTACTGTGTAGCAGAGAGTGAGGCGAGTTCTTTAAAATCATATTCAATCAGTTATTCTTCTCCACAAGCTCCTGTTCAGTTGATGATCAAAAGGATAATTTGCAACAAAAACCTAATTTTCCTTAAGATTGGTCAATAAGGGAGTAGTTTCTCTTAAAAACTTCTTAGATGTTAATGGAAATTTTTGGAATACTTAACGAACCTTAATAAGCATAGCCTTAGGTTTAATAAAATATGCAAAACCATACTTAAAAGCAGTTGATTAATGTCCACATGTTTAAATTCATCACATTTTCTTACCCTTTCGAAATAAATATTCATGGGATATAGGCTACTTGTTAATAAATGTATGGCTTAATAATTAATAATTTAGTCTTTTAATGAAACCTATTCCATTCAGTTGTTATAAATAAGGAACTTTTATGGAAAAAAAAACACATTTAGTCACCAACAATAACATTCACTTTATATTTATTAAATGGCCTATTTCTCCAACAAATAAAGAAAATTCCTTTAAAATACCAAATCCATCCATTAATCTACTCCAGTTTATTCCGTCAGCATCACGGTGGGATGGTGCCTACCTCCAGCAGTCTATGGGCGACAGGCGGGGTACACCCTGGACAGGTCGCAGTCTGTCACAGGCCAATCCAAATACATGTAGGAAATTTTAAAGAATATATTTAAGTAGAAGAACAGAAGAACGGAAAAGATCTTCTTTATTTCCTGTCTGTCTTTGGAAGTATTTGAAGACTTTATGAAGTAGGATTAGGGTGGTGATTGATAGAACATTAAACCTTAATAGAAATGCCTACCTCACTTTTCAATCTAGAAATATTTATAGTTTTCCTTTATTGATATATTAAAGTTTTTCATTGCTAAATGTGCCCAGCTTCAGTAGTAGGAATGCCTTTTCACCATGTTTCCCATCTGTCCTTACATAACTCTCTAATTCAGCTGAATATGGAACTGGTGAGAAGTTACAGACTAGGAAAGATGACCACAATAAGGAAGAAAAGGGAACTGAGCTTTATGAAGATACAAAAACAGGTTTATAAAGAAGAAAGGAAGGAAGTCAATTTAGAGGAAGTTTGAGTCATGCAGATGTTAACATTTAAAACCAGCACAGCTGAGACCTCTGACCTTAAATTTGGACAAGTCAGCTGTTCTACTGGGTGATGTCAGTCTTAGTCAGAGAGACACTGCAGATAAAGTCATTGTCTTTGTGAATGGAGAGACACAGAGATGCATGCTTTTTGGTATGAGTCTGGTTAGCTCTTCCTGTCCCCCCCCCACACTAATTCAAACCCCTTCTGAGAATGCGTCAGAGGAACATACAGTATCTCTGCATTGCTGTCATGTAAGCAAAGGTTTTTTAAAATAGCATTTAGCAGTCTTATTTACAGTGTCTTGAAAAACTTTCAATACCAAATGAACTTTTTAATAATTTCACACAGTACAACCACATATTTTTGTGAATTTATGTGAAGGAATTGGACAATGAAATCTGAAGAAATGGGGATTCATGTTTGTGCAACAGTACAGCTTTTACTCTGATAACCATCTCAATGATGAAATTAAACACAAACTGCCTTCAAAAGTCACCTTATTAATAGCTGTCCTGTAAATAAGTTTTATTCCAGAATAATGTCATGAAGTGGTGACTTCAGCTATGAAAGAACAGTACGCTTTGGTTTAAAAAGGTCAAAATGAATATTTTCTGATTCTAAACACTACGTGTGGAACATTATCCTAAACGCAGCACATTCAACTGTTTCTTAACTTTTATATAGTCTTAACATAAGTGATCTTTTCAAAGAATGTGTCCAGATCCAAACCATCTTTAAAATTTCTCTATTTGCATCTTTGAAAGTCCTTCCCAGTTAAATCTAGCTGCTCTTTTCCTTGTAAAGAAGTCCAAATCAATAGTAAACAGTTTAGGGTATTGTTATCCATCTAAATTATTGAAAAAAAAAAAAAAATTGTAATAAAACTTTTCAAACAGGCCAGCATGCTAAAATATTCTAAAAATGAAGTTTTCTATTACTTCAAGTGTTGGTGTAGTCAGATTTTCTCCTTCTCTATGGGAGTTCCTAAAGTCATTCCATGGATCCTAAAGAGTCTTGATTAAAATAGAATTATATAAAGGATTATTTATTCAAAGCTTCAATAAGATTATAAATGTTAGATTAGGAGAAAAAAATAAAACTCTCCAAGGAACAGAAAGTTTCAGCATATCTACAAATCTGGTAAAAGATCAGCTACTAACTTTTATAGAAACTACTTCTAACAGTTTTACGTCTACGTGACTATGACAGGCAGGGGTGGATTTAGGAAATTTAGGGCCTGAGGTAAAGACAGGCAGGGGGCCCTCTGAACTGAGAAGACAACACATAAAACAGACCCATCATACAGGTACAAAAAAGTTTATAGAATAGACATACATAATTTGTTTTGTTTTGTCCCTCTCCTTCGTCTTCTTTTCTTGTTGTTTTTCCTCTATGTTTTGTACTCAGCTGACTCTTCAGGCTGTCCCAAAAGGAAAGATTTTTTCCAAGCACTAAGGTCACAGCTGAATCCTCCTTTCTGTTTCCAAAAGGGCGACGGCAAAACTAAATAACACATTCCTTCTTAGCACTGTAGGCAAGCCATGATCTGCTTATCTGTTCTCCATTTTCATTTTTATGAAATAATAGCTGCATGAATCATGATAGCATACAAGAGAGAGGAGAGCAAGAGATGGGGTTATGAATCTACTTGCTCTGGAGAGCAGTTTGGTGCTTTTATATGTTGTTGTCAAAGTCTCTCTCTAGTAGCAAAAAAAAGTCGCTTGATTTGGAGCTAGCCGCTATTTTGAGATAAAAGTGCTAGAGGGGTCTGAAAAGTCGCTAAATATAGCGACAAAAGCGCTAAGTTGGCAACAGTGCTCTTTCCATCTTTTGTTTTCTGCTGTCTGTTTGGACCTTTCTGAACATTTGTAGCAAATGGACTGATCCACTGTGGTGGACACTGAAGCGTGGGGGGGGATGAGACACTTAATATTACCGTATAAGCATTCTGATGGCATTTTAGCGAAAGGATTTTTTATCAAAAACATAATGTGCACAAATAAGGAATAGCTGTATTAACGAAACATGTAAACATAGTTTTATGGGGCTCCCAGGAACTTGGAGCCCTAGGAAACTGCCTAATGGTAAACCCCCCCCGATGACTATAACAGACCTGCAGCAATCTGATAGTCTTCCGGAACCTTATGTACCATTAAAATTGCCAGTAAATCAAAGAAATCTGTTTCAAGAACAATTTATATTGAATTACAAAATAGAGCAGGATTGTGTTTTCTAAGTTAACCTCAAACTAACAATAGTTTGTCAAAGTCATGCATAATAAAAAACAATAAAGATCAACCTCTAATACAAACGTCCTTTATTAATATTTTTAACCTCTTCTGAACATAGAAAACGTCGAAGCGGATTCAAAATCTGTACAAGTTTGCTACTGAATAGCATTTCAGGTAAGAGGATTTCCTTAGTATACATAAACATTCTAATTTAGATGGATCTCTGCTCCTCTTGGAGGCTTCAAGTGGCCACAGGTCTTCTGGAGTTAAAGACTTTGATTCCGTTTTGCACAGATGACCGAGCATATTTAGTGAGCAGGGCTCCGGTGGTCTGCTTCTCTCCACAAAGGTCTCTGGTTATATAGAAGAAAAAAAACAATATAAATATTTAAATAAACCACAAAGGAAAGAGAAAAATAAAGAACAATAAAATCAATAAATAAATAACTGATTTTATTATATTTGTCCAACAGAAACCACTGACTGTATGTATGGTGTGATGTCATCCTCTGTCCACTTCTCTCTGAGTGAGAAGAGGTGATTGAAGCGCTCCACTGTGTCCTCTGGGAGATCTTCCACTCTCAGCAGGCTGATGGTTTCTGGGCGGGAAGTTCGATCCACTAAAGCGACTCCCTGGAGGAATAATAAAATCAGCAATCACAGAAGTCAGAAAGTTCTCCTCCAACTCCTCGAATACAGCAATATGTGAGAGAAAAATAAAAAGTAAAGTTCACAACATGACAAATAAAACAGTATGTCTTCTAGAAAGGTTACCAGCAAAAAGCATCCTTTTTTTGTAAATTTACAACTGAATGAACCTCAACAATTCTTTGCACAAATGAGACCAAAGACCGCAATCAGAGACCATTAAAGTTCAGGCTATATTCAATCACCTTTAGCTGCTCCAGTCTCGTGCTCATGCCCTCCGGCACACTCTGCTGCCAAACGTCCTGAAACTCCTTCAGGTTAAATTTGATGGCGTTCTGCAGCAGCATTAACGCCAGGCCCCGGCACACCTTATCCTCGTGCAACGCATAGAACACCTTCTCTGTGCAGACGAAATACAGCAGGAATGAAAACCCAACATTATGGTGGAGGGAATCACCATGAAAGCAATGAAATGCTTCAGTCTCTGCATTTCCACAAACTCTTTACCGTTTTCAGTGTAGCGTTTTCCATAGCAGTTCAAACAGTGCTCAATCATCTCCCTGCAAACAAAGACACTGTTATGATTCATGTTTGGAGATTATAAAACTTACAGCACGCACTCAGATAGCTTTCACTAAAGAGAAAGGTCCAATTCCTTTAAAAATATCAACAATCTTAGTTTCCTTACCGGGGCTCCAGAGGAGCCAGCTCCTCCAGACTGCTTTGAAGGGGGACCTTGTCGAAGGACCATGACTCAGAATCCACCAGCTGGGTCACGTGACCGAGAAGCTTCATCTCATAGTCGAAGTCCAGAACACGCCAGTATCCTGAAAGACACATTCTAGGTATATAATTCCCAACAAAAAGAATGTAAACACTCACACGCCTCACTGCAAACATTCCAAATAAGACATCAGTGTTTACTATCTATCTGGCAGGCGTGGATGGTCTCCAAGTGGACCTTTAATTCCTCCTCACTGGCCTGTATACGATCCAATAGATCCTCCATTGTGTACTGTGTCAAAAGAACAACGATTTACCGACAGCTGGAAAAACAGTTAGGATCTCCCCTTAGAGATCTTTAATCAAAACCATAATTTCACCCTGTTCTCCTTGTTTTCCTCTTGCCCCCCTAAAGCAGGTCCTTCATAAGGATTCTCCATTAAAAGCCTCTTCAGCTTCTTCAGTTTGGGTCTCTGTTTCCTCAGCTCCCAGTAACTGTTGCAGAAACCCCAGATCTGAGACAGAAGAATGAGAAGAACAGTAAGTAGCTGTGTACGGATATATTACTGAAATATTATTCTATTTTAGTAATTGAACATAAAAAACATATATAGGAATATCGCACAAGATTTCAGGTGTATATTTTGGTAGATGATGGTTTATGAACTATTATGATGGCTAAAAGTTGAGTAGAAGGAAAAAATGTGGTTAAAAAAGTGCAGGGAGAGCTACAATCTTTAAAAAGATCTATGTAATAAGTAGTTTCACTTTTGGAAACTAAATGAATGTGATATTATTTCTATGTCTGCATGTGTAACAGAGAACCTGGATTATGTTGCTAAAACCTACTTGAGGTGATATTTTGAATACCTGAGCGTGCACCACGTGAGAGCCGTCCTGGCTGCTGGTTAGTTGGTCTGGTGTTTTGCAGCCGGGTACAAACAGCAGCAGGTTGGATGTGTCGGCTATTTTCAGGTCGTAGGTCTTGTTGCTGCTACAAAGCACGGCACGCTCATCTTTATCCCCTCGGATTACAAGACTAGGTACAAGAAAATATTGGTTTAGGTTGGTTTGATCACTTCTATGTATATTTGATGATCTTGTGTGTTTATATGTTTAACCAACATTTTTATGTGGAGGTTAGACAAAAACCAATGCTATGGTTAAAATATAAGAAAATACCTTTGTATCAGAAATTAAATCAGAATCAGAAATAGAATAGAGAGTGCCTTTATTGTACCATAATGGGGAAATTGTGGTGTTGCAGCAGCAAAAGGTTATAGCAAAAGTGCTCACACAAAGTGTATAGAAATAACAGAATAAGTAAGAAAATAAACAAATAAGTACTGTACTGAACACTGTTTTACGATATAAATACTTTGTATATGGAAAGTAAATGATCAATAATCAGCTGTGCACATTTTTACAGTAATGGATGTGTGATGAATAGCAGCAACATCAGATGTGCAAAATGACAGCAGCATGTTATTTAACTGACTAAGACAGAAAATGAGCAAAAATCAGCATGAATGAAACAACTTATTAAGGAACAGTGATGGCTATAGAGTCTTACAGCTGCTGGGAGGAAGGATCTGTGATAACCTTTCCTGGTGCAAATAAATAATATGCAAATAAAGAGGAAAAAAGCATTACAAAAATATATGCATTGTTAAAAAAACAAAACAAAGGGATTATCCCTCATATAACACATCCAGGATCTGAATGATAGAAATACTATCATTTGTTCTGTACAAAGCTGAATGTGCAATGGAAATCAAATGTATTAATTAATGGAGGCCTGGATTTTGAGTCACACACAAAATTAAAGTGGGGAAACTTCCTGAAATTCTAAATAAAGCAGTTCAAAGCTTTGTTTACAAAGTTATTCCTAAGCAGCTCACCTTTCTCCAGCTTCTATGTGTTTGCACAGCGTCTCATCCAGCTCCATCAGGCAGTAATCTGCAGATGAAACGTTGTCTCCAAATGATAAACACTGGATAGTTGGGAGTAAATCCTCCTCCTTCAGTTTGGCGATCTCTAACGTGGCCTGTACCTCCTCTAAGGTCCTCATTTTCTCTTAGAGCTTTGTTGCAGCCTGGAAAAAACTAAGAAATTCACGGTTTTTGATGGAGTCTGTTAAAATTCCCCGCGCTCTCTTTCAGTCGCAGACAGGAAGTGAGATAATAAACACTACCGGGGTTATGGTTTGGTTTGACCGCCAGAGGGCGCTGATGCTTTTTGAACGAATAGCACACGCTTTAACTGGAACAAAAACGTACATTCTTCTTCTTCTTGGACTTATTGGCGGTTTGCAACAAACATTTAGTAGCATTATGGCTTCCTCAAAATATCTAATAAATTAATATTTTCCTTAATACATTCAAACTCTCTCCTCATATGTCTTCTCTTGCTTTCATATTTATGACATTCCAGTATAACATATTTTATTGTTTCATATTTTACACAGTAATCACATTTGCCAGTAGTATGCTTTTGAATTTTGAAAAGTGTATAATTAAGTCCTGTATGCCCAAATCTTTACCTTGTTATCACTCTCTCCTCCTTTCTATTTCATCTTCCATTTCTTCTTTTTCCTACTATCTTCTGAATTTTATAAAACCATCTTCCTGTTTTTTCTTCATCCCACTTATTTTGCCATATTTCCACCAGTTTTTCTTTAATAATACTCTTTCCCTCCGATTTACTTGTTTTAACTGTAAAATTAATGGGATTTTGAATTGCTCTCTTTGCCATTTTATCTGCCCTCTCGTTTCCTTCTACCCCAATATGTGCTAGACCCACACAAATACAATCAAACCCCTATTTTTTTTATTGTTTATAATGTATGAAATACATCTACTATCTGATTGATTATATTTTAAACTTAATAATGCAGAGCTTGAATCTGAACAAATTACTGTTTTTAATGGTTTTATATCCAAAACATACATTTAATAAAACCTAACAAATTATGGAACAGTAGGATTTAAGAGAATTATTGTGCTGTATACTGGATAAAAGTCTTCCCAGGTTTCAACAAATAAAATGAAATTTCTGCAGCACAGTTCAACAGAAAACAAACAAATCTCACAAAGAAACAATAAATTAAGTGGCAAATTAACACGGTACATATGTGTGCACACCCTTAAACTAATGTTTGCCTTCATTCAGCTTTACTTTTCATTACAATGTAAATTCTCATCATTTTCTAGGCCTGCATGCCAAAAAGTATCCATATTGTTCAGTTTGTGATGGCATTATTTGCACACATCTCTTCTCAGATTACTAAACAGATTTTCTGATAGATTTAGATCTAGATTCCGTCCCCTAATTTTTTTTTAAGAAAAATAAAATATCTTTTTTTACTTCAACTTTCCTTCAGACACCTGGAATTTAGAATAGAAATGACTGGTGTGTAGAGCTTTTCATGGCTTTATTCAGGAAGGATCTATCCAGAGCAGGAGTCAACACCAGATTTGACCTTGAGTAATGTATGTACTTTAAGAGATGTGTAATATAGTTTTATCTGGTTAATAAGATTTTCTAAAATAAAAGAATAATAAACTCTAAACATTTTTGACAGGGAGTTTTAACTAAGAGCTTACATGTGTCTTAAAAGGTGTTTTTTTTTTATTTTTTTCTCCTTCCACAAATTTGTAACTAACTTTGTAATTAACTGAAACTATACACAATAAATTAGCTGTGTGTTATTTTAGGTCAGTTATTACATTTATTTATTTATTCATAAATGTTTTTAATTAATTCATTCATTTCGTCTGTCTATCTATTGCCTTATTTGATTTCAGCAGGGGTGTATACACTTTTTAAAACCTTGACAATTTGAGAATCATAATAAATAAAACATTTTAGATAGCTAACTTTTCTCCTAATTTTTACAATGATAAAACTACGTAATTGCACCCCCCCCTTTTTTTTTGCTTTAAACATTGTGAGGCTCAGATAAATATTGTGTTGTAGCAGGAACCAATGCATACGGGAAACGTTTTTATCCGTCACAATTTGTTAGACGGACTGCGTCTCACATTGCACTGGCAGGTCAAATGTTTTGAGGATGCGTGCATAGCATCGTAAGAAATGTCAAGTTTTTCCAGATCGGCTCAGGTAATTCATCCTAAGCATTAGCGCTGTGTTTATTAAAATCTTGTTTGAAGGTCTTGTAGGTAGAATGAAGGGGTTCAGCTGAGCGATGCTAAAGAAAAAGGCACAGAGCTAGCAGATGCTAACAAACCAACACTGGCCTTTTTGTTGGTGACATAAGTGACATCACGCCTCTATTAGATAAAACGCTTTTAATTTAATGTTACTGCTGAGCTGTTTTCCAGCGAGTATGAAAATACTTAAAAAAAAATCTTTCTAGAGTGTTTCACTGTTTATATACTAAGAAGTAAAAACGAAACGTCTAAATGCAGATATCAACTAAATGAGGGTTTATAAGGAGGGTCCATTATATTTGTGTTTTTACTTGTTGGAAACTACTTAACAAGTAAATAATGGTTTTAAAAATAAAATGGAAACATTGCTTATTATAAACTAAATGCTGAGAAGTGTATAAACCAACATGGCGAAAAAGAAGATAAAATCTAAAATATTGTATCTGTTTCATTTCTGCCTGGTTAGTTTAAGAGTTAAGTGTAATAAGAAAAAATATTGCTATTGAAGTTAGTCTGAAAGTTATCATAGCAGGAACATTGTGGCCACTTTCAGGAAACTGTATAAACCTAGACGAATAGGATTAACTAAGAATATTGGGTTTAAAGTAAAATAATCTGAAAATAAATCCAGAATATAGTAGATGGACCCATTTAAAAGTTCTGCAGTGTGTTGTCTGTGTTTTCTTACTTGTTGCAGAAATTGATTCAATCCACATTGTCTTAATTTTTTTGTATTTATTGCCTTAAAGGGTGTTTATAACAAAGGTCATTGTCTAAATCAGGCCTCAACCTGGTCCTTGAGGTCTGGTGTCCTGCATCTGTTAGGCGTGTCTCCCTTTCAATACTGAGTCAAATAATCTGGTCATTCGAAGAACTCTGGAGAACTGGACTTCATTCCAAGGAAGCAATTTAGCAATTTGATTCAGGTGTGGAACAAGGGACACATCTAATTATGCAGGACACCAGAACTCAAGGACTTGAAAAGAGGAAACCTGGTCTTCAGTTTTGTCCAGTTCTTCTGTCTTCATTTTGGCCTCTTGCTCCTCCACAGCAATGGGCCACCTTCGCCCGTTCGTGGTTCCTCATCGATGCCAGGATGCAGCCGCCCGGCAAGATCGCGACCATGTGTTCAGTCAGACTGCAGGGGAAACACAAGCCGATCTATCATGCTCTCAGTGAGTAAGGGCTCTGTTAGGGGAATCTTACATAGGCTGCATCTGCAAAGCAAAAAAAAAAACTCTCACAATATTTACACTGTTCGATTTTCCTCTGTGAAATACAAAAAAATCCAACCAAATTTATTTGTTTGAAGAAGCCACAAGGTGGCAGCAGTGGATCAATTTTCAAAAATAGCTTTGCTCTCTGTACCTCAACTGATTTTATTGATCTGTATGTAATGTATAATTCATTGTAGACCAGGAAGTGTTTTCTTTATGATGGAAACCTTGTATGTCTAAAACCATTCCTTTATTGTACATTTATACATTTTGCTATATTAACCAATCTGATGTGATGAACTAGATCTGCTATTTTCACAGCTTTTATGAGACACTTTTTTTCATAAAGAAGGGCATAAAGTTTATTTGAATTCTATAAATCAAGGTTTTCTGCTCAACAGCAATGATGAACTGCAGGGCAGCATTCTATACCAAGCTATTGTAGTATCTAGGCTAGAGCTGTCAGTCTGGTAAAGAATCTGGTCGTTATTCGAAATTATAAAGGCTAACTTTTTTTTGTGCAGCATAAATTAGACTAAAACCAACCAAAACCATCACATATTGTAATGACGAAATTGTGACTAAGAATAATAATAGTTTTTGTCCTGAATTCTAAGATTAAATCTAAGATGGCTGTCAAAAACAGCACTTTGGATGGCTAAATAACTCTTGCAATCTATTAAAAAAAAAAGTCAAAATTAATTTCCAAAATTAGAACTAGTTTTAGTGTAAAATCGATCCCATTTAAAGCTTTGATCACAGAAGCATCTGCTTATATCAGTCTCGGTGAGTTTGAATATTTAGTTTTGAACCAGCTGACAATAATCAGCCAGAGAAACAAACCAACAAACTCTGTGAACTGTTTACAGGTGACTGTGGGGATCATGTAGTGGTAATAAACAGCAAACACATTGCTTTCTCTGGGAACAAATGGGAGCAGAAAGTCTACTCGTCACACACTGGGTGAGTTATTCTTATCCTTCTCTCTTTTGTTTCCTGTTTTTCTTTTTTGCTTGTACTCTTATTTTGTTCTTCCTCTTTATTCCATGACCTTATTTTAATAATCTTGCTGTTTTTAATTTCGTACTTCAATTTCATCTGTGTAAACAAACCTTTTTGAACTTGAACACGTAGTATTTATATGATTTAAATGTGTAGTGGAGGATGTTCTTTTTTCCGGGTGGATCACCTAATAAGTGGTCCTTCTAATTGTCAATCATTCCGGTGATATGTTTACATAAGGCCGTCCTACGTGCTCATCCCCATCTTCACTTAACGGTGGTGAGTCTGACATAGTGGAAAAATTGCAAATCCTCTTTTGAAAAGTAAGCTTGTATTATCGATGCAAACAGCAACTTTTAAAACGGAGCGTGCACGAGGAGAAATGGGCTGGTGCACGCTCTCACACGCGTTTAATAGGCGCTCCCTTTTGGGAGCGGGTACAAGGTTGTGCATCTGCATTTTTTTAAGGTGGAGAGGGCGGGTCTTTTCAAAAATTTGCGAATATCCTCCACAACACCTTTTAAACAGATTAATTATCATAGAAATGTTCAGACTTTTCACTGAACTCCACAGCATGACTGTTTATAATTTGTTTAATTTTGTTGGTTTATGGCGTTTTGAGAATGTACACAGATTAATTATTAAATGATTGCTGCAATGATTTCTTGAAATAAAATTGTAACGGACGAGAAAGTTGCTGTTAAAAGTCGTTTCTATAGTATTTAATGTTTTTCTCTTGGAGAATACAGCACCACTCAAACTGTTTTGTTTGATTTATTTATT